GGGGGGGGGGGGGGGGGGGGGGGGGGCCAGTCATAGATTATCCTAGATTGCTACTGGGTAGAAGATTTGATCAGGGGTCTTCTATTCCCAGGGCGTAGCACTTTAAAATAACTTGAGACTTTAACTCTCGATTGATCGACATCGGGATATCGAAACTGATATCATCAATTTCAACATGGGACACACGGATATGACGGACTTCTCGGCACCACCGGTCAACAACACATTGAAAGAAATGAAGCTCTATATTGTCAAGAGTAATCCCTTACCCTATATGTTCCTTTTCGCACCAAAGAGGTGCGCTTCTAGTTTCCTGCTTTGTCGTCCGTGTGTGCCGCGAGCTCCAAATTTAACCTTCGGCAGTCCAGACACTGACATCATGGCAATATGATAATGCATAGCAATTTGATCTGAGGAGCCCCGGTTCAGTTCTCCATAATCCAACAATGTTGCTCCCAGATTGTCGCATCCATATATCTCTTGCCGCTTTGATATCTCTAGGCCGATGCGTGTAAACACACCTCACGCCTTGTCCAAGATATGACCGCTAATGCGTCCGGAATTGACGATATCAAGGAATCACTCAGAATCTCTGAGATTTCTTCTACAATAGACGTGCCTGAAGAATCAAGCCACCACATTGTCGTATCCTTAGATAGCCTTTGCCAGAGTACACCGTAAAAAAGTGTAATGAACAATGCCATAGGCTCAAGGCGCTTAAGTGCTTGAAAGAAATCCGGGCTTACTGCTGTGACAATCGAGAAGCAAGATCCCCTAATGTTTCCTGCAGCATCTTCGGCGAAGCAGTGCTTAATGTGTGCAATAGCGATGCGATACGTCTGAACATCGCAAGCTAATGCTGTAGTCGTCCCAGCCTCTTGGCCCGTCAATGTTACATAGACCAAACAAGATATAGACGTGAGTTTGTCGAGCATAACCTGTGTCTCAGAGCTTATAGCATCCATTGTTTTTGGATTAAATTCCTCCATCACCTGGCGAAAACAATTTGGGAGGTACGGGAGCTTGGCGGCGAGAAACGTATACGTCCCCACTATCATATCGAAGATTGCGTTGAGGCGATTAAACGTAGTTGTAGAGCTTCTCGTCAGGGAAAATCTGCAAATTGCTTCAATCACAGCAAAGTGATAGAGCAGGGGGACATTTTCCTCGCTTATCTTCCCCTCAAGCTGCAGCCGAAAGTCGTCAATAGCCTTTTGCCAATACTGATAGGCGGCTTGATTATATAGAGATACACTTCGCCCATCATCGCATCCAGATTGACATGCTAAATCTGCTGCGGCAATCGCAAGAACTATGTTAAGCAGATAACTATCTCTCAAAGCTGCGTGTGGTAAATGTTGTTGGAGGGTTTCTTGATCCTCGGGTACGCTGTAAAGACCTCTCCATGTCTTCGTCGACCACTGGTGCATCAACTCTAGCTCGAGCAATCTGTTCGACTCGACTGTAGTAGAAAATGCAGTCAAGGAGGGCGACAACGAGGTGACGCTTAGGCTCTCTTTGGTGGACGAGTCTTCAAGGTTATGGGACTGCGTCTTCCAATGCGCAGAGTCTTTTCTCGACTTTGATGGCTTGAAATGCGAGTTGAGGGCCAATGGAAGCTGATATATGCAGGCAATGCCTCGAACGACGCAATTTATGCATTGCGGCTGCTTCTCGTCGCACTATGTCAGGTGTCAATTTCATCCGATGCAACAGTTGCTTAGACATACCTTGATATGACGCTTCTTGCAGCTCTGGCATCCTCTGCGCGACTTGCTATGTGTTCGCCTTTTGAGCATGACGGCTTGGTCTTGCGCTGATAGCGAGGTGCAAGAGAAGCTTCAAAATGTTGTCACAGGACTGGAAGAAGTGTTGGTGGTGGGGCTAAAATTTCCCGGGGCTGTGCATGGTGCGCTGCAGATCTTATACTGGATATCGCATCATTCAGGATCACCATCCTTGTTCTCTGGGCGGGCTGCATACAACTGTAATTGTAATATACTTGGGATGACATTAAAGACACTCCCAGACAAGCGCTCACAACAAGATGGGACAGGTGAAGAGACAAAGCCCCATTAGAGACTGCGCCTTTATTCTAGAGCTTCGACAAGAATTCTATGATTTTACAGTCGGTGGCATATCGAAAACACCAAGCTCCCCCACCTTCGGCGATCACAGAAGGATGGCCAATCCCTGGGCATTCTTGTCAGCCCCCAAATCCTTCAACTCAAAGTGTTGCACTTGTTTCTTGTCAACCACATTGACCACTGCGATAGCAGCCTGTGTGGTACCATTGCCAGGGCTTAGAGCGTACAGGAATTTGCCCGCAGCTTTGAGGTCGATCAATCCTGGATCACCATTCGCGCTCAAATCGATTTCTCCCAGAATGCTCGCATCCGTCAAGGACATCTCGACTAATCTGTCGATTGCAACATCAGTGACAAAGGCAGTGCCGCTAACTGCTGAGACTGTGGCCCAGCATGTTGCCTTCTGGTCTTCAATGACGCCTTTGCCCTTTAAGGTCGACATTAATGTCCCTGGGTCAATCGATAGTACAGCACCACCAAAAGAAGCATCTGTGACGAAGAGGTCGCCAGAACCGGGAATAGTTGATGAGCCGAAGAGCACAGCTGTGCCCGCTGGTGATGATTGGACCCCATCAACACTTACGCTAAATCCTGCCTCACACTCCGAGTTCTTTTCAACCGGATATGCTGCCAGGAAACCCGTATTATTCTTGGTTGGGTCTCCTTTGACTGTCGTAAACAGTGTGTTGTCATCGTTGGAGAAGAATACTTGTGAGACAGTGTTTGTCGGCCCAAGCGGCGGCGTTGTCTGCTGCAAGTCGAATGGGCGGAGAGCATCCATCGTTGTTATGCCTGTCGTAGAGAAGCTGCCACAAGAAACACCTGCTTTAGCTCCAGATGAACCCACACACACAAGTTTATGTTTCATTGAAGCCGCAATCGTGTTCGGGAATTCTCCAGGTACTGTTGCTGGTTGACCGACAACCGTCAATTTCGTTGGGTCGGTCTTGTCAATTGCCATCATGGTAATGGTGTTCGACCCGGCATTGACCACAAAGACATACTAAGATTGTTAGCAAGCTATCAAGGTCAGGCGGCTTGGTCAATAGAACATACGTCGCCCGCAACAGTGAGTGCTGACTGAGAGACCAAGCCATCTGGAGCAGCAAGCTCCCCTGTGGCGCCGCTGATCGAATTAGATCCTGCGCCTCCGGTTGGAACTCGCGAGCCAGCTGCGAGGAGTCCATCTTTAGAAACGTTGAGAGAAATGACCGCATTTTCGTTATCATTGGTACTAATGTATACCGCTCGGCCATTTCTAGATGTAAGACACGGCGGTCTGGCCGATACATGGACGAGTAAGGTTGTCACGGACAGAAGAACTGTGGAAGATAAGACATGCATTGCCGTCGAGGGAAAACCTTGCGATTTTGCGAAAGTGAAGAGAGTGAAGTCGAGATGGAAGAAGTGCACGCGTGGATCACAAATCTTTACTATGAATACATCTCAGCTTTTTGATTATGCTCTGGACTACATGCTTGCTTTAAGTACTTTCCGCCCAGTCTAATCTCGACTTTTCAATTGCCCTGGATCGTTAGGTGAGTATGACCCTTTTGAGTATCAGATTTTAAGACCCTGGTAATCGGATTTTCCCAATCGTGTAAATCTGATTACCCTGCTGCTAGCTGCTCGAGGTGCTATTGAAACTTGGCGGATCGGCGGCGCCATTAGGGAGGAGGGGCTAGAGGTTAAGTTGCATGCTTACCAACCAGTACAGTACCAGGGCGCAACCCGCCGCATTATGTGAGGGAGGCCCAAGGTGAGCTGAAGCGCGCAGCATAGCCTTGCAGCACATGCGTGCGATCTTCGCCTTGCGAATTCGTTTTCGCGGATTCGCAGCCCTCGTAAACTCACCTGAGTTTTAGTCTCTTTAGAGCCCTTTTACACATTGAAACATATCTATCCTCTTATCTACAAATGTCTAGGTAACGAATTGAACTTCTTTCCATTTAAATTAGCCCTGAAGAAGTCCATTTTCCGTGTGAGTTAGAGTGTAGATCTACGAATTAGCACAATGTGGTTGGTCTAGCACTACTGTCCAATTTCAATGTCACAGTGCCGAGACTGCAAAGGATTATTTATGGGACCATCGTGGCATCGACTTCTCGGACGTTGAGCATTATCGCGGTCATATCACAATCTAGAGCCGACCTTTTTATTGAACAATGAGGTGCTATTAGCAATGGCCAGGCGACGTAGGGTGTTATGCAAAATAGACTGGTAAGGTATACTGAATGAATAGATACCCTGCCTTTATTCTGGCGAGTCTGCACTCAACCAATTCTCTCAGAAACACAACTTTTTGTAGAGCATAAGTATTTAGTAGCTTGCCTCATTCGTCTCCATTACTACTTGTAGACATGATAGTCCACACTAGCTTTCCCTTTTATACCCTTCCAGTGATCCCATCTCCAAAGTTGATTAACTTTATTACTCAAGCCCGACTATCTCAACAGTCGCCAGCAAGAGGCGCCCTTGTCCCTTGTCATACCCTTCGCAAAAGATCGAACTCTATATAATGTTGATGATAATATTATCGACGCTCCCAAAGAACTTTTCATACTCATATATTTTCACAGTACGTGGCTGGTAAATTTTTTCTGGCAGATTAAAATATTCGACAAGACGCTTAACATCAACGTTAACCTCGTCATCGGGATACATTCAAATCCCCTGATATGATTACACCCAACACGTGAGCGCTGAATGTCTCAATTATTACTAATAGAGGATTGCAGGAAATCAGCTTTGGCTTGTTCAAGCATCTACCGTGGTATTCGAGGGCTAACGTATCCATTGTCGAATGGCCACCTGTTACGATATCCTCTCCGGGTAACTTCAATTTCAAATATTAGAAATAATCTAGCTTAAACGAACGTCATATTGCAGATGATACTTTATCAAGATACAAAACCACCCCACAGACCAGGCTGTAGCAAATGAGGTCTCAACTAGACGTGCTTGCACAAGAATTCTCAACAAGGAGTAGTACGACTAGGAAAATGACTGGGTCATTCGAGATCGTTTCGGTTCAGCTTACACATGTGAAACGAGCGTTTGCGAGACCAATCATGCTCATTGTTGGTTTGGGGCGATCAATAGAAGCTAACCGTAACAGGGAATTTTGATTATCTTGAGGCATGAAACAGGGGTTTCCTTAGCTCGAGCCACGCTACACCCGGCTGAATTCATGGAGAGTTAGCGCGCGCGCGCAGGTTACTGTCAAGTGGTTTTTTCTGACAGTTCTGCACTTCTCATCACTTCCATAACACCAGTTCCCCCGGATTATCGACCGAACACATCCGCAGACACTCCAGAACTCTTGTGATTCTACAATCAGCAGTACCATATCGTCCCTCAACCTTAAACTTCTCGCTGCCGTACTGGATAAGCCGAACGGAGAAAATGAGCGACACTGTGTTTCGCATTTTCAATCCCAGAGGTGTGTTTGCCAAAGCTAGACCCATCTTGCCGTGATCTCAACCTCAACCACATATTTTATAGCAGCCAAGCAAGACCCGACAGAGAAGAGGCGTGCACAGCTACGCCGGGCTCAGCAGTATGTCGTCAAGCCTCGTAAGCGACAAGACACTAAGATCATTTAGAAGCTATCGTGATCGAAAAGATATATACACTAAGTCTTTGGAGCAAGAACTCGCCCGGGCTCGAGCCACTGAGGCGAGTCTCATAGGTATTTCTCAATCTCTCCGCGACACCATTCAGGCTCTTGTACGCCTCCTGTCTCGGTATGGGATAGAGCCACCGGACGAGTTGTGGTGCAACGATAATTTAGACGACAAGGAGTTTCTTGATGGAGACAAATCTCCGGTCAATTGTATAGACTATGGCACTCGAAAAATTTCGGCCTCGGCTTCTCAAAGTAACCTCGCCTCCGGAGATGTCGAAAAGTCCATACGCACTTCAGACGCATTCGGATCATATTATGAGATAGCACCCGGGTTCCAGATCTCCCCAGATCCGGATAAAGAGCTGCACCAACAGCAGAAGTCACGGAGTACAGCATCATGTAACGGCATTTCAAATTCTACGATATCTTCACGCGGACATGCCCAAAGAATATGTGATTCCGATCCAGCAATAGTTGGGATGGAGTTTGTATTGGCGTATGTACTTCGAGTTATCACATGATGATGGCAGGCTCATCAATCTGTTTCTTAGTATTGAGGCGCCGTGTCTCGGGCATATCCATTCCAATCCAAAGAAGCCAAACGAACCCCATTGTCATGCCCTGACAACGACCGCCCAACTCTCATACGCATCGCCTGCTTTGCTCGCTGATTCGACGAAACCCAACATTTCACTACTTCAAGACATGCCCGGGGCCATGCTAGACAGACTTCTGAATCTTTCGTCGGCCTTATGCTCGGATGAAGAGGTCACTCCAGTACAGGCTTGGAATTACCTGCGCTCCCAGCCGCACTTTGATTTCCTCGAGACCCAATCTTTACAGACGCTGGCAAATAAACTGCGAGAGGCTGTCAAGTGCCATGGGTAAGCACATTACACAGACCCATGAACAGTAATTGTAGCTAAATATGGCTCTCTCTAGGTTCGGTGCCGTGATTGAGCAGACTGTCTTCCAAAAGCTAGTCGCAAATGTTTTTGGATAAAATAAAGAAGTCAATTCATGCCTCAACTCATTACATGGATGTTGATGTCAAAGACTTTGTCCTCCTCGATCAACATGTTTATGGCTGAGTGCTCAATAGTTAGTAATATTTGCCAGAGTAAGATTGGGGTCGAGCATCTACTAATATCATGTGCAAAGGTATATACGTTGATGACGGCCTCGCAGACAACATGATGCTGTCTACAAATCATTTCACAAGGCGTACAACGAAGATTGTCAATAGAGGATCGAGCGGGCATTAGAGCAAATTGATTAGTTGTAGAGCGAGGAAACAGGAACCATGGACTAAAACGACAATGAAGTCATCAAAGTCAGAATCTACCCTATCTGGTTGATGAGGCCACTGTGCCTAGTCATCTACACTACTCAAACAATTCATCGACAGCCTCGGCCATTGCTGTCGGGAAGTCGCCCAGTTCTCCTTCTAACCAAGCCGTTGCTTTCTCAACCAGCATCTCCCAAGCGTCCTTCTCCAGTGGCAGCTTCTTCCGTAGGAAGCTGATGACCGCTACCGTGGCAATAACGTCCTTTGAACTTCCCGGGGAAACAGCCTGCAGTTTCGTCGTGACAGCATCCTCCTCCACTTTTAAGACATGAAGTAGCTGTTCTGACCATGTCCAGCTCCCAGAGAATGTCTGAAGCATCACGATGCCTTGTAAGGGATCGTCTTGAGCAGTAGATTCAGCGTCCCACGCCTCTTCGTCCTCCTCAGCCCCATTCCGGCCAGCGCTTTTTGTCTTGAAGCCTCCGCCCGAGCCAAAAAGACTCGCCGGCCCGGCGCGCTTCTTTTTAGCTGCGGGCGATGAGCCTGTGGCCATGAGGCTCATTGGACGTGCAGACAAGGTGTCTCGGACAGCTCCTCCTGCTGCTCCAGCTGGCGCCATGCGATCGAAGGTCTGATTCGATGCCATACTGCCAAATGCACCTGTAGCTTGCTGACCGGCTCTTGATCGTACCATGTGTGCATGGGGTGGAGCAGCCCCGAATAGCCCGCCAGATCTACTCTGCGGGGCTGGTGATACAGCCATCGGATGGTGAATTGGAATCTGCGGGGCCCCTGAAGGTTGTCCCATGTTAGTCCGAGCTTTATCCGCACTAGGGTGTACGAAGCGGCGGTCTATTGTTTTGATAGACATCGCATTGATGGAGAGATACTTACCCTGCCTTGCAATCTCAATGGGGTTTGCTTTTGATTTCTTCTCTGATTGATCGTTATCCTCTACAGCGACAAAGGAGCACCATTTGCCGGCGACCTGGAATTCCAGACCAAGTCGCACCGCTTCCCGCTCGACCATATCAGGGAAACGGCCTTCGTACTTTTCTTTCAAGAGCGCCCCACTCTTATCTTTTGCTTGTGTGATCCATCCCCTGCCTTCTTCCAGCTCCTTGACGGCTGCGCGGGCGGCAAGTTGATGGATGGTCTTGTCTGGAATTATCAGGGCCATGACTGGAATTTCTAGTTCAAGCGGCCCGTGAACTGACGTTCCTCGAAGGACTACGGCGCTGGGAAGTCGTTGTGTTGTCCCCGGGGACAAGAGCAAGTAGATACTAGTACGGTTGAACGGGAACAGCGGAGGGATGTGAAATGGAGTCTGAAGTAGCTTTGGTGCTGGAACAGGGGGTACATGCGGGTAGCGACCTGTCTTCTCGCTCGTCTCGGCATCAGGATCGGCGCTGGGATCGAAGAGTGAAATTGTGGGTTTTGATTCAGGAGGTGGCGTTGTGGAAGATATGTCCTGGTCTTCGGGTTCTGAAATGTCAAGGTTCAAAGCGTCCAACACCTTTTCGACCACTTCGAAATCGTCATCACCAAGCTCAGACGCAGCTTTACCGTACTTGATCTCGAGAGAATAGTCATTAATGTGCGGAGTGAGGGCACCCTTCAGCATGCGAATGACCTTGGTGTCCATTTTCTCATTGTCGAGCACCGCCTGGGAGAACCCGTTCCCGGCGCGAGCAAGGCCCTGTATCAAGGCGTGACTGACGTCGTTTCCAACGCCGAGGGTGAACAGCCGGATTGATCCATTGGCGTCCTCGACATTCTTGTTGACCATGTCGAACAGGCCTTGCTGGTTCCAGACTTCACCATCGGTCAAGACAAACACCTCGAGATCCATATCCTTATATCGTCTCTTGAAGGTCTCCTGCACTGGCTTGGCGATCTCTGTACCGCCAAAGTCGGCGGCAAAGGATTCAACATGACGCATGGCGGCATCGAGGCTGGTTTGGTCATAGGTCTTTGAGCCATCGGGGAACAAGTAAGAGTAGCGGGAGCCAAAACTGCAAATATTGAATTTCACGCCGAGTGGCAACGACTTGAGGAATAGCTGGAGAGCAGATTTGAGATGAGGTATCTTCTTCCCGCCGCCCATGGAGCCACTGCGATCGCAGATGAAGACGATTTCTGGGCGAGAGGAGGGCAAATTGAACTTCGGAACAAGAGTTGTCATGAGAGCTCTGTGGTTCGGAATAGTAGGGTGGGTTTCAAGTATGGCGACAGGATTGGAGATATTTGTCGCCACAACTTGGAGGACGAAGTCTTTATCCAGTTCGGCGGTGCCCAGGGAGAGTGAAGCCGATGCAAGGTGCAAAGACGGGGAAGCATCGTCTGCAGAAGTGGAGAGGGATCCGACCGTGACGGAAATGGGATGACTTGGTGATTGAATGGATTTGATGGCGCAATTTGTCGGCATCTCAGTGTCAACAACAATCTTGATCCCGTCTGTGGAAGATGCGTTTGTCGCCTTGCCCACTAGTTCGCCGGGATATGATCCGTATCTCGGAGCGATGCTTGTAGGTAAGGTGAAACGAGGGCCATCGATCTGAGCATCATGCTTCAGCTCTCCGAGGTAGGTGATGTCAACCTGGATCTCAGCATCGGCGGGCACATTGCCAATGGTTGTCAAGAATACATCGCTGGCATCGGGGATTTGCTCGAGCAGTCCGGCCGTCTCTCCCCTTGCGACAGCGTCGTTGTAGGTCTGACGGGCGTCATGCTTCTCCTTGACGACGCCACGGATGACTCGGTCCTTGTTCACTGTGCAGGTAAAGCCGACAACCGACACGCCATCATAGAGGGGGAAGGTGTAACGCAGTTCAGGGATGAGGCTTTTGGAAGGGTTGACAAACTTTTGTGTCAGTGTTGCTCGAACGACGGTCGACACGATTCGGGCGTGGCACGACAGCGAGAGCTGTGGCAGGTATTTCCTTCGCTGAGTCTGACCACCCCAGTTATTGGTGCCGTGGTCGATGTAGAAGAAACCACAGATATGGTGGTGTGTCTGTGCCATGTCGGTATCTCCTCTGCCTGTCCGATTATCTTCTCGTGATGGGAGGGAGGGAGGAGCGGTAAGAAGTCCAGTCAAGTTGAGGCGGGAATTTCCCTGACTTGGTTAGACAAGATGGTGTAAATGACCTAGTTACGTAGTTGCCGGTGGAATTGGCAAGCAATCGACTGGACTGGGGGCCAGAGGATTGATTGATTTGTGGGTTGATGGGATCGATAAGTTAGATGGTTTAGGACTGGATGATAAAGCAAGTGAAAGAGAAAGAAAAGGAAAGAGGGAAAGGGAAGGGGGAAGACGCCGCGATTGATGAGTTTGTTTGATATATCTGGCTGCAAACAAACTTCTGAGTCTTCCCACTAGTGTAGGTAACTACCTGTACCTTAGCTGCGCGACTGACTGTACATGTAGTTGTAGTTGCTGCCTTGCTCATGAGTGAGAGTGATGTCACGGGCCTCAAAGACAAAGAATCTCCAGAGTGCGAGTGCGGGGTTGGCTTTGCAGGCTTGGCTTGGCTACCTAGCTAGCTACCTAGCAGCTTATCCTAACGTTATACCTTGGGATTGTACTGTACCGGTACATGTACACCTGCAGTACTCGCCACCTAACTATGTAAACTATGTAAGCTAAATTGTGTTGTATTGTGAGTCTACTTTACCTTACCTTCATATGCGTCTCTAACTCATCGGGAGTTGAGCTGATTTAAATCTAACAAATATCTATTTAGGTAGGTAGGTAGGTAGGTAGGTAGGTAGGTACTGTATGTAAGCTGATTGTTGGAAATCATTCCTTGCCTGCCCTTGCCTGCTCTGGCCTCGCCACCTCCACTCATCCCCGACTCCGACTCCGAATCCGCGGACAGAAGCCAGCGGGAGGTAACGTTAGGCGGGGTGTTATTAATGAGTGAAGACCTGGTTTTGCCTGGGGTCTGCGAATGCACCCTTTACCTATGGTATGGCTGGTGGTGGATGGGATGCGAGGCGTCAAAGCTGTGACTCAGAATCGAAATGTGGCGTTTTCGCACTCTGAAGGAGGCCTCACTAACAAATTGTCAACACGCGGCGGTTGCGCGTTGCAGGCGAACAAAACCGCCATCTTCATTTGTCCAGCCAGGCAAGCAAATGCCCGCCAAATCGAAAAATTGGACATCTCAAAAGTTTATTGCTTTGGTTCGTTTCTTTGCTACTTATAAGGCTTCGTGGCGTATGCGGTGATGAATTGCCGCTACTTGCAGCCAGCTCGGAGACCAACAAGCCAAAGGCAGCTCTGGGTGATTCCATGAGGAGACATGACGACGGCACATACAAGGCAGGTTGTTTTGATAAATACAAGGGCTATATGCCCCGTAACTGCCCGAAGACACAATTGATGTCACTAAGGCGTAGTATTACTTATAGGTAGCTTTGAAGCATTACATTATATCAATACGCCCTCCTTGCGCCAAGTGCAATATCTCAATATGCTTCCCAGTCAGCCGGGCAAGCTGCGGCGTAGTCATCCGCAGACAGATCCACCAAGTCTGGATCTCCTATGTACGTACCGTCCTTGCAGTACAACCCCTGAGAGATAATGTTGTTGTCATCTTCAGTGTCCGGATCATCATCGTCACCATAGTCCTCGCAATAGTCGCCGACTTCGCTTCCCGTTGCATGGTCATAAGTCCCACCTACAGGAACATAGTATTGATTACCATCATTGAAGGTGATCACCATCTATTGTGCCGAAGTCAGCTGGAGCGCAGAACATCAAACTGAGTAGGAGGGATCTTACTTTGGCAGAAAATCGGAGATTGACACGACTCTGGATGAGAACCACAGTGCATTTTATCCTCTGGCCAGCTGGTACAAGCGCGCGAACCCTAGTGCCAACTGAGAACTATTGGTTGTTAGCTAGGAATGCCCGTATAATAGTGGAAGATCTCTTACCGTTGTCGTTTTGCCATTTTCTTCCGAGTCTATGTGCTTTTTTACCGCCTTTCCGACATACTTTGCAACGAGGCCCAAACTGATCTTGCCGAGGACAGGTATCGGCTCAGCCCACTCAAATCCAAAATTACTGATGCCGACTTCACCGCCATCCTCGTGGCCGTCTTCATCGGTCACCGTGACCTTGTGAAGCTCCTGATATTGCAGAGTAAGAGTTTCTGAATATTGAACTGGTATAGAAGCCTTGGTATTGTCAAAGTACGCGGACGCAAATTCTATAGTCATTCCTCGTTGACTGAGGATCTATTAAAATAAGCAAAGCACCATATCCGGGGGCCACCTACTCGAACGGCAGTGTGTTCAACGTTTCGATACTGGGTGCGTACGATGTGTTGAGCAAAGTAACATCGGCTGGTCCCGCGCTCGAGAACAAAGGCTGCAGCGAGTCGATCCTATCACCTGCGGTGCCGGAAAAGCCAAGAAGCACCCCCTTGCCATCTGAACCACGACTGATTTGATACTGAGTCGGGTGTGTGTTATCATTGTAGTATTTTCCAGCGTCGATCGTGATGTTGTTCGTTATTCCTGCGACAAGCCGTCCGACGCCTCCCTTGTAACCATTGTCGTACAGCGAGAAGATGCTGAATGTGTCAACAAAAGGGGACCACTCCAATGTGCCGAATCTTTTGTGCCCATCATCTGCGCACTTTTTGCCTGCAATCATCTCGGTATTGTCGGTAAAGACAACACGTACGGAGCAAAGGGTATTGTCGTTGGCTGTGGCCTCAAGGAGTCTAGGATATATTCCACTTCTCCATTTTGCCAAGCAGAAGGTCTCTCCGCCATCGGGGTTGCCGACGTCAGTCCCAGGTGCAAACCAGTCAACAGCTACGTTGCAATTAAAATCGCTTCCAACATATCGCGATGGATAGTCCGAGTTGTCCCCGACTGGACCCCAGTCTTCACCCGAACCATCACCACCGGAATCGTCACCGCCGGAATCGTCACCACCAGAACCGTCGTCAGAGCCCGGAATTGTGGGCAGGTCGTTGTTCATTGTAGCATCATCGCCTGTCTGGTCACCTAACCCGCATGTGGGGCTCAGTGCTGTCCTGGCCTCGTTGGTAAACGTGCCTAATATGAAATGCTCGTCCGCACGGCCATTGCCATCAAGGTCAGGAAAGTATTCACAGCTGCCTGCGGAGTTCCCGCTATAAGCAACCTCCGTTTGCCGTCTCCAGGAGAATGAGGAGCCGAGGAGATCTTCTGGATCACCTCGACCGTTGTTGTACCTACGACAGTCAATATTTACTGAGACTCAGACCCGTTTATAATGACGCTCACCACACGTATCCGTCTCCTGAAAATTTCTCAACCCAAATCAGATCATCGATACCATCCCCATCTACATCTGCATAGCGAAAGTTGGCCCGATCGTAGCCATCCGAGACCTTGATCTGGCCAGCGTTTTGGAAGGAGCCATCGTCTTGCTGAAGGAAGCCGGTTGTTCTCCCATCAGGCTCAATGCAAAGATAATCGGCACGGTTGTTACCGGTAATGTCAGCGAACCGGACAGCCACCATTGAAAGTTAGCAAAAACAGGACTGACCCTCACGAATTATGCTTCTGTGCTTAGATAAAGGAGAAAATGTTAGTTAATCTCAACTTACAATCAAATATACCATGACCTCTTTTCTGCGCACAGCTCAGGCCCGGTGCTGGGCTCGCCAAGTGAGTCCAATCCCATGTCCCAGTTTTGGGGTAGTTGTTGATCCAGACCTGAACAGCACCAGAATCTGGATCAACATAGATAACATCACAGGCTCCATCTGCGTTCCAATCTTGCAAATGGAGGTCACGCCTGTCCATGTCAGACGGTGGTGTAAAGATGATACCCTGATAATTCCAAAATCCATCTGAATCTGAATCAGTGATTGAGCCCTTTTCACGATTGGCCCACATCTCCATTCTCCCGAATGAATATATCCACACATAATCCACCGCTCCACTCGAACTACCATGTTGCAATATCTATTACCATCAGCGAGTACCTTCGTACCTCCTGAGCCAGTATTCTGCCAAGCCCGTAGCTGGAAGCGGTGTTTGCCAGATCCAAGCTTTGTGTGCTGCAAGAAAACGTAATCCTGCTTTGGTAGATTACCAAACACAGTTGACGTGCCGTAAATACGAGCAAAATGAATACGGGATTGCACGTGCTCGCCATCAGTGATATAAGAGCCCACACCCTTGTGTGTAGGGCCCGAAGACTCGCCGGTGTAGTATCCTTTACGCCAAGCAACATTGAGGCCATTTCCTTCCACACCCGTTGCACAGCTTCTACTATTGGTATAGGTAGAAGCTTCACCGGAATTACCAACATTCAAGGCATCATCACGGCCCTGATACACGAGTCAGCCATATAAGTCGCAGGACATCTTCAAGACGGCTTACATCTCCATTAATGTCCTCGAATCGTGTACTGCCAACAGTTCCTTGAAATCTCATGCCTAGAGCTTGCCAGTATTCAGGAGCATCAGTATTGCCACCATTCCTCCAAAAGTATACTTGGCCAGAGTTGTCCATAACTCCATAATCACCCCGTCCATCGGCATCGATATCAGCCAACACTACTTGATCTCTGCCATAACCCTCGTTACTCTTGATCAAAGCAGTACTACTGATCCTCTTGAATGTAGGTGGCTTTCCTGCAGCATGGTTCCCATCTCCTTGGTTGATAGAGAGGTAGGCATTGCCGTCTGAATCAATATAGACGAGGTCGTCTAGGCCATCACCATTCATATCGATAAAGTTCACACCTTCTCCATACTGACAATTGAGATCGCCGCTTAGGTCACTTATCTGATTAAATGTGCCCCTGCCATCAGCAGAGTTGGCCCTTCGTAGCATAATAAGTCAGTGATTGTTCAACAACAACAACAACAAAAAGATGTTTGGGAAGGGCTAAAGCTCTTTGCTTGAAAGGAACATTGGCTTGGAGTCAAGATGGCTTAAAACATACCAGACAGCATATGTTTGCGCCGTGTCACTTGTGGGAATCCAGGCGAGGAGGTCATCATATCTTTGATCAAACAAACGGGCGAACTTCCACTGGCTTCGGTCCCAGTCGCTATCCGCTGACCATAATATCTACATTTGAACATTAGAACATGATGACAAGAATCGAAAGTACACTTACCCCCTTCTCCACACTATCGTGGTAATATATACCGTCGTCGTAACCCGAACCACGCTGGGTCAGGCCACCAGCGTCAATTCCAGTACCAGCAAACTTGTCGCATATAGTAGGACCAGTAGAGAAGTCGCCCGCTGCAACGACAGTATTGGCAGCCAATGCCCGATGAATAGCCTGATAGAAAACAGCGGCCATCTTTTGGTGTCCCAGGTCCTGTATATCGAATCAATTTCCAGCTATTTCAACAAACAATAGATCATACAAACATTGGGATGAACATGGGGAGACTCAGTTGCGAGATAGTTGGTGTCGAACTGGAGCCACTGTGCACCACCTGGGTCCATATCTGCCAAATAGATGCATTTTCCATCTCCAGCGCGCTGGGAAACAAGCGATCGGTATTGAGCATTGATTGAGTCACGATTAGCAGCACCATTGGCATTTGTAGTAGGTATTAGTGTCGATAGAATCATGCACGTATATGCCATTCCATCGGCTGCCCAGAGGTCATTGAGAATGTCGTTCATGCGACTTCCTACTCCTGAAATATCGACGTTTCCGTTACCATCGTTTGTACCCGCATTGATAATGACAATGTTAGGCTGTTTGGATTAGCTCAGGAGTACATTTGGAAGCACTGAGGGAGACCATGGTGTGTGGTTATGCAACTAACCTTGTACCCAGTAGAACGTGGGACCCGGGCTCGGACCTGAGTGAGGACATCTCCGGGGACTGCTTCATGCTCCTAAAAGATCCGTTAACTGAGGTCCTTTGGATATCATGTGATACGAACATAATCCTTCATAGTACCACCGTGGCGGCTTCCAACCATATCGACATCGTAGCCGTCAAGTCTTAGGGCGTCCCTTAAGGGTTTTCGGCAACATTTGACTTCTTTAGCGTTATGTATGTCACAGTTATAAGGGACATACATACCCGTTTCCCGTGGATGACCCAGTGCCACTCATGATGGAAGCTCCCAGACTAAGAATTCGCAAGGCAATGTTTGCCCGCTTATGCATAGTCTGCTCGACCCCCATCAAAGGCTGGCTGAAGTTGAGCGGCTGATCAGGATCATGCCGTGGCGTAGTCGGAGCTGCTAACGCGGGATTGACAATTGACAAGCAAGAAAGAACCGAGGTGGTCAACAAGAAATTCTTGAGCCAACCATCCATGATGAGAATTGCGTGTGGTTGTACGATGCATCATCAGAGAGGCCGCTCAGTGCTGAACGAGAGACGATTTGCTTTATATAAACCCAAGTACTGAAGACAGTAACCCTCCAAGTCCTACATAAAGCATGGGAAATTGGTCATGCAGCATGGGATGTTAGATTCTATCGCTTTCCCGGGTTGTACTCGCATTTTCTCAACTTCAGAGGATTGAACACACGATACCAAAGCTGCGCCGTAATATGCGTGATCTGAAAAGGTCAATAACCCCGACACACCTTCCTGAAGCAGTTTTTGTGATGAGGAGTTAATCCCAGAAGTTCCACTAATTGCACTATCGAATGCTTGAGAGGTGGACATGGATATCAATGCTACTGAAGCTAACATTAGTTTCTTTATCGGTGAATCACCCTTATCTTGAAGAAACACTAGCTACGTAAGAGCAAAATCAACTCCCTTATATAAGCAAGCTTAACAGCTCCATCGATCTCTAAGAGAGTGGTCTCTTATATTGTAGCGCGAGCCAGGCATCTGGCGAAGCGCTCGGCTGCCGCTATAAGAATATGTTGGCAAACATCCAGTCAGGGGACGAGCCACACGCGACCCTCCGCTAATCTTTCTTGAAGCTTTTTCTTATGCGATGATATGACCCAGGTCACTGTGGCATTATGGAATCAATCCAACTGCGGGTCACGTAGCAATGAGATCATGGCGCCCAAAGAACGCGGCTGCAAAGTATGCGGAATAGGCCCGCGCATTATAACTGTACCTCAAGGATGGGCGACATGGTCCCCTGTGTACCCTGGAGCTCTCCTATCGTCCAGGCGCATATTCCTTCGAATGACGTTGAATAGATCCGAATCATTTGACCTCCCGTGTTGGAGTTAATCACTATCAGTGCTCAGTCACTATTAACATCATGATAGCATCTTAGTCTACAATATCTTTATCTAGGTCTGGTCTCTACACACTTCATACGCCATGATATACGCAATACAGCCGAGCTGGAGTGTCTGCAATCGTACGCAGGATCAGTCGTGCTCAGTTTGGAAACATCGCAACTGACCGTTTCTCGGTCTCGCCTCTTATTATCAGAGTACAGCACAGGGATGTCAGCATTTTGCAAGTGTCTAGCTAGACCCTGGTACCGGCGTTAGATTTTACGGACTTAAGTATTGGCAATTACTGTATGAAATGTGGTATGTGTCATCCACGCACGGAGTTATCTGTTACTCGACTCACTCTAGTATGAACAGTTTGGGATCTAGCAACCTTTAGCGCACCTGCCAAGTAATTGCGCTGTGGCTTGAATGGATACAACAGGGAAACACACATGTGCCGATTAACGAAATCGAGCGAGACTTGCGAACGCGGCAACTGTGCCTTCTTGGCATCTACGCGCAGCGGCTGTTTCCGGGTGTCGGCGCCGTTGCCAGGATCGAGCGCCTCAGCTATTAGTTTGTTTGGAGAAGAGGAGAGGGAGGGCACGTCAAGTCCACGAATCACAAGATGTAAGTGAAATGCCTTCCTTCGTGTGCAATCTTACACCCTTGATAATAATACGTACATAATTAATTGGCCCAAAGACTCTGTAATAATATGCAAAGGGTTCCAGGTAGAGAAGCGTATCCTCTGTTTTTTACGAACTCAAAATATGTAACGTTCGGGTTTCTTGAGCTTGTTTGGAAAAGCAGATCGGTACATCATTTCTTGGTCGAACTACGTTGAAGATGGGGGTCTGTTCACAGGCAGGCAGCCTAATTTGGCGAGGGAGACAACCACAGAGAGACGGGCGAACACGAATCTTGCATTAAATGAACTCCTCTTCTTAGACGAGACGCGATAATCTTGCGTCATTGTAAACCGTTAACTGCAGTCAGCTTTGTTGGCCAACCTAACTACCGTAGATCTCTAGATTGTAGGATAAGTGCAAAATAGTTTGATCCGTTTTGTCCTCGCAGCGACAAGCCGTAAATTGCAGCAGGGTGTCTGCAATCAGCCACAACGCTGGACAAGAGATTTAAGAGAAGATGCGAATCAGGGAGGTCGCGTATCTTGACAAGTCTAATTAACATGTGCCCTACTGATCGGTGAAATCCCTTGATTCAACACCGTTTCGTTATAAGAATGCCCATGCCGTGCAAGGAGTAGCCTGAGCTTGAATCTTCTGAACACCTGTGCGCTTTGCTTCTTCTTGTTCGTGCTGTCTGATTGCTTCTGTCTGTTTTACAGCAGACGTTTGGAACTTAGAAATGAACTGGCTAAATTTGGACTTTGGCTTTGGCGTGTAATCTGGTCGTGGTGGCTTCCTCTCGATATACAAATACTCCAGTGAAGGCTGAGGTTCTTGCTCATCTGCTGACTGCGCAGTCATCGTTGAATGTTAAAGTGCTACAACAGTAGTGTCGTGGAATATAAAAAGGTTGCAAGTTTAGGTCGTGAGGTTGTTTCTTGATCTAATGGTTGAAAAGTCATGCGAGCTCTTATATAGGCGACATCTAGAAGATTGGTGTTGTAGATCGTCCTGTCAACGTATATCCATGCAAGCATTGAGGCAATGCGTGGGCTCGTGATACTATACGCCTTCGTAGCATTGAGCCTAAGGCGGTTGTGAGGCTTATGCTTCTTGGTCTGCACGACAGTGTTCCAACCATTTCAGGCTATTCTGATGCCCAATCAAGAATACGCTTGGCGAATGATAGCTTGGAGTTCAGCCACAGTCATCATATCACTATGTGCCTGGCACAGCTATTGTCTGGAGCTTGAGGCCTCCGCGCAAGATCTTCTTTGGTTGCGTCTACTTTTAGCTGATTACGACTTCTTACACTGTGATTCAATAGGGATTTCCAACAACTAATATGGATTATGTGGCCAATCTTGCTAAGCAGACCTCGAAATTACTGCCGTCGCTCATGCTTCGCCTCAACTTCTCTTCTAGCGGAACCCACCCTATGCCAACTAACGGTGGTCTCTACATCATGTAGGTGACAAAGGTTTCTTTCCCATTGTCTGCACGAAAGCTTGGAGGGCAACCTCAGGTTCTATCTCAATTTCAGTATCGCCGCGCTGGGGAGAATGTTAGGTTTTCATAATACTTACGGTAGTATGGCACTTCATGACCAGCCTCGTAGACTCTTAACCAACTGAGATTACCGGCTGACTTGTACTCCCCGTACGATGTCCCGTTTACAGTATAAGGCCGCAGTGATGCAGCGTTGAATTGTGCAGAGCTTGCATAGCTAATTGTATTTGCAACCGCATAATTACCCATCCAGTTGCAAATCCAGTCTATGTCTCGTCAGCTCTTATAGAATATAGAGTGAGCACACAACAGCTTACCAGCGTCTCCGGCCCATATCAAAACCTGGATACCTGATTGTACGACACTTGACAGAGTACTCAAAAATGAACGAGATTCTGCTATGATTTAGCATCGATTTATGCGTGAAAAGAGTTCGACTTACCATCTCCAGTTTGCACTATTTTTGTATAAGGGGCGTTAGGACACTCCGCGTATTTTTGTGTAGCTCCGATGGCCTTCATGACTGAAGAGGTCTGCAGGTAAGTAACGTATGTCTCTGGCGGATTGGGGTCGTTTGAGCCTGAGCGAACATCGTACACGTCAAAATCGTTCGCATTCTCAATTGGGCTTTCAACGGCTGAGCGACATACGCTATCGGCATTAAGACATGCCGAGTTCGATCCCGTCGTTCCTGTACACTGGTTCATTGCTGGAACGCATTTCGAATTGTATGCGCTCAAATAACTCGTATACTGGGACTTTGTAATGAGCTGCTTGTACGTATTGTTGTATGCAAAATCCGGGTATGCCTTGTACTGAGACACAGGATCTATCCAGCCATTATTGATGCCGAGAGCAATCAAATTCACAACTTCTCCGGAGAGCTGGCCTGATGCAATCTTGGCATTTTGTGACTCAAAGTAGAATGCAAATTCTGGGCCATAATGCCCACCGTAGGATTCCGTAAATATGCCAAAGTCGCGGTTTTCGTAAGTGGGAAAGGCCGCGTAGAAAGCTTGAAGCAGGTTCCATACGTATGGAGCAGCCGTCACAGTTGATGTCGCATCATCAGTGCCGTAACTGAAACCTGTGCCGATAGGTTGGTCCACGTAGAGCATATTCGAGAATGTGTTCCAAGAATACGGATTCAAAGTTGGTTTTGAGGCTCCGTTGACGAAATGACACGGCCCATTTTCCTGGAATAGCCCGATCATTGAGCTGCAGCCAGGACCTCCATTTAGCCATATAGCAAGTGGTGCTGTGGAGGGGCTGTTACGTGCTTCAAAGAACCAGAAAAACATATTCATCCCAGTCCCTACTCAGTCAGCATGACTCATACTAGGTGTATGCTGTCAACATACCAACAGAAAGATAGCCTGAATATTGATTTACTCCTGGCGTTGTCTCGCAGATTCCGGAGTTTGTAACATATGATAGAGATGCCGCTGTTGATGCATGATCGAAGACCGTGTAATTGATCCCACGCGACTCAAGGATATACCTTTTATCGTTCAAATTGCTCGCGTCTCTGGGCAAGGCTCGGGCCGGCGCAAGCATGCATAATGCAGCCACCAGATGGCCAGCCGAGAGTTTGAGAAGCCTCATGTTCTCCTATTTTTGAAGGAATAGGGAATTCTGGGGTAAGGTACGACCTGAAATCTCCTTACGAGGCTACTCGGAAGAGCCAGCGTTGGATAAATGTTGTACAGTCTCTCGCTTGAGCCCCTATATATATACTGATTGAGACTTAGTGTTGATGCTTGCCGTAGGCCAAGAGATGCCTGCCGTTGATCTGCAGATGGTCGAAGCTTGTTTTGATTCAAGCTTTGTCGGGTAATGGTGTCCGACATAAAAATGATGTGAACTGCCACTTCGAGAAGGTGTCATGTGCAACTGCATAGAGGTGTGGTGAATGGCATCGCTATGTGGGTAAGGCGAACGCGAGCTCCTTGTTGTAGGCGGCTGAGCCTTATCGAGATGGCAATTTAGGCATTTACTGTAAGCCAACTGCCGGTCTATCCTGGCTAGTGTACGGCAGACACGCTGTACGCCTTGCCCCTCGGGGCAGGCCGTCTAGCGCTCTCCGCTCACTGTTTTCAACTCTGGTATGGTGATGTGATGGCCTATAAAGCACACCTTCCTAATCTGGGTTGAACCTGGTCCAACACTCGTCTCAGGTTGATTGGATACGAACTGTTACCCAATAAATGAGAGATTTCTGTCTTTCTCCAAGATGAATGTCTGCTTGAAGCCAGACAGCGAATATTCGACTCAGCAGTAATTCTTAAAGTAGCATGGTGCACACTGGCGTAAATTCCTGAACAACTAGTACAATTCTCGTAATTATCTATTACTCGCATGGGCTTTACTAATCATGAAAGTTTATACGTGATGCCGCATCACAGGAGACACCGAGGACCAGGAAATAGGCCTGAGTTAAACCTGTCTGTTGTTCTTTCGTACATGATGGGGAGATCGGTCAAGTCATACTAATTGTTGGTGATCATTTGACCTTTGCATCATCACTAAACCGCTAGGTCGGAAGTTTTGATTCTCGCCACGCTGTGTGCACGTTCATCGGTCGTTCAAAAGGTGATGCAGTCTGTCTCCCTGATTGTATTCTAGGACGTTCAATCGATTTTATTTAACTTGGTCATTTGCAATGTTGGAATTCAGGGGTTTCGTCACGAATTGACAAAAAGTGTTAGCCATTAATCCGTGGCCAATATTGCACTATCAGCCAAAGTCTTTGGTATTTATGCTTCATAGAAGCAGTCTTGTCTCATTTCGTGTCTTTTCTATTCTGGGCCTGCTTTGCTTATCGATCTGCACGACCGTTGGCTTGCATCACTGGTCAATTGCCGAGATCGGCAATCTGGGAGGACTTTTGCCAGAATTCTACCATGTTCTAGCCTCGGATAGCTTCCGTGAGACATCCCCACATGCTACCGCGGATTTGTAATTTTTAGAGCGACCCGCTGAACCGCACTTCAAGCTCAAACAGCATTGACAGTGACAAACGAGAGCTGCCGGAGCAAGCGTATCACAGCGATATGGCGGACGGCGGTCTATCGATATCGAGCCTCGGGGGCGAAATAAACAGTGCTGGTGCGATATCACCGGCCAGGGCTCTGCGGAAGGATCCTGCGCCGTCCGTCTCGGCGTCCGATGCTGGCGGTGAAGTCGGCGACGATAGCTCTAGTCTGAAGCTGGATCGTGCCATCCTTCGCAAGATTGATATACGACTATGCACTATCGCAGGCTTGTTGTGTGCTTTGGATCTCATCGATAGTAGCATAATGTCATCGGCTTCGGCGACTTCAATGCCCGCCGACCTTGGCTTGCATGGCAATCGCTACTCGGTTGCTATTTGGATTTTTGTATTGGCCCAGGTCGTCTTTAAATTGCCAGCTACAATCGTCATGCGTCTTGTTGGACCGCCATTGTTCTTCACGGCGATTACAGTCCTCTTCGGTTTGATCACACTTTGCACAGCTTATGTAACGAACTGGCAGCAAATGATTGCACTGAGGTTTCTTATGGGTGTGAGCATGGCAGGTATTTACCCGGGTCTTACCTATTTGATTTCTGCCTGGTAGGTATTCCTATGATATAAATTGTTCAACTCATGCTAAGCATCACACTGCTTAGGTATACGCGAAGGGAACAGCAATTGCGCTTCGCTTACCTCCAGTCTGGCCAAGTCATCATTGTTGCTACAGGAAGCATTGTGAATTACGGCCTGAACTTCCTCGATACCGAGCACAACCTTCGGGGGTGGCAATGGATGTTTATTGTGCAAGGGGCTATTACCATTTTCATTGGCATAGTCACGTATCTCTGGATTCCCGACTTTCCCGAAAACACGTCAAAAACATGGTGGTTTTTGTCTCCAATCGAAGTCGAAAAGGTTCTCGCCTGTATCGACGATGATCGCAAAGATGCCGGACCTCCAGATTCATTCAGCATGGCTAAAATTCTCGAGCCCTTTCTGGATCCTAAACTATACGCCTTCAGCATCCTATTTTTTTTGCAGAATGTCGTATCTACGGCCCTATCGTACTTCATACCGACTATTCTAATAGGGATGGGTTTCACCTCCTCGGACTCCATTCTACTTTATGCACCGCCATACTACTACGCAGTCATCCCCGTCATCATCACGTCGTTCATCGCAGATCGGCTATCCCTTCGAGGTCCCATCATAACCTTCAACGCCATCTGTCTCATTGTTGGCATGTGTATGTTGGGCTTTCCCAGCCAAGTCGCCGTGCGCTACACTGGGGTCCTTTTCGCGACGGGCGCATACGTGTCTAATTGGGCTGCCTTAAACGCATATCAATCGAACAACATCACCGGGCAGTGGAAACGCGCAACTGTAGCAGCAGCAGTATCGGGGTGCAACGCCTTAGGAGGCATTGCAGGGTCGTATATCTTTCGAAGCCAGGAGGCCCCACGATACTCGACAGCAGTATGGATCAGTATTGGAAGTCATATTCTGATGATAGCCATCGTGGTAGTTTGTGATATCTTCTTCAGGAGTGCGAACCGACAAGCCAAACTTGGCAAAGGGGTTATAGAGGGAGTTGCTGGCTTTCGATACACATACTAAGCATGGTATGTGTATCACTCGATGTTTTACCTAAACCTACAAATATGGAGCCAAACAGCTGTGGCGTCTTTTAGTATTCTTTCGTTCAATTGAACTGTTTAGAGAACGCCATGAATGAGCCATCATGATCTATCTTTTTTTTTCTAGCATCCAAGTTTAGTGTCGTGGATAGCGAGGAATTGAAAGAGAGCACCAGCAACATCATCATTCTTATCCATGATTGATATTGCAAATAGCTTAATCCTCTTGTTGCATACTAAATAAAGCAATAGATATCGTCCGCAGCCCTCGACGTTGTCGTTTCGATGTCTCGACCACTCGGGCATCCGCTAGATCGCGCCGTTGGCTAGCTATTGCGGCAAGTGTCATGACGTCAACCATAGACCTTTGCATCACCACTTCCCAATGTCAGCCGCACGTTCTGTCTCATTTCGAGGCAAAAAATAACGGTTAGGTTCGTCATCAATCAATGACCCCTCATTTGCAGCCTCTCAAGACTCTAGGCATTGTAATGTCAGGATGCGCCTGAATACAACATCCATGCCCCTATTGACATTTACACGCGCACGAACACCTATATTTTGTAGACCAAAGACAGTAAACCCCATAAGCATGGCTACTGCTACAGGAGCACAGGCGACATCACTTTCGTCAGCCAATATCCGAAACACGGACGTTCATACCAACCCTGGCGTGGATCTGAATGACCAGCAGAAACTCGTTGTTGGATCTATCCTCGATGTGAGTTTCTCTCGCCTCCTCTGACGGCGATTACTGAACCACTCAGTTATTCGAGGGTAATCCGACACTCAAGCATTTGAGCTTGTGGTCTAAGGATGCCACCTTTACAGACCCGCTGACTATAGCCACTGGGTATAAGAAGTATGCTGCTCAATGGTACGGGCTACCGGCGCTCTTCAATCCAATCAAGATTCAATCTCATCGGGTTACTTCTGCCGGCAATCCCATTGAATTGGAACTTAGCAACAAATACACAGTCAAAGGTATCAAAAAGGATCAGGTCATTGACAGCGTGGTGAAGATCTTCCTTGGAGCAGACGGCAAGATTGAGAAGGTCGAAGATAGATGGAACAACAGTCTGCCCGATGGCGCCGTGAGCCAGGTAAGTCAAAAAGCAAGCTATGCACGCGTCGCACACTCTGCACTTTGTCATGAGGATCAAATCGCAATTTCAAGTGGAAATGCTAGAATTCAAGGCATTCATATCATGCCAGTCTTCACATACCAGCGTGACTCGCAAAATGAGATGCTCTAACAAGAATCTTGACAGGCATTTCGAAAGCTCAATGCTGTAACTGTGCCAGCCTTCGTGAAGGTGCCAGATACCGAGGAGGAGGATTCGAAAATGAAGACGGAAAGAGAGTCTGGTTGAAGTCACAAGATGATGATGGTCGGAAACTTGGCAATTGTACATCATTGAAGAAATTCTTATTCTCGCTGTGTCCTTGCTTGTCTCCTTTGGGATTGAACCATGCAACCATACCAATCGGGTGAGAAATTGCGTAACTAAGATCTGAAACCGCCGTCTCTGAGGATTTGACGAGCTTTGAGAAATCGAATGTGATTGCTGACCGATAACTTTCGGAGTATTTGAGTGTGGGAATACACGCCGCAGATGGCCGAGTCACTTTAATTCCTAACTCTGCAACTGAGAACTGACTAAAATGATCGTAACAGCGGGTTCTGGCGATGTTTGCTCTAGTGTACAGCTCTGTGCCATTGATGTCCGGGCCTAAGCGATCGCTGGCAGCGCACAATGCACACTCATTTGAGAAGTCAATCAACTAACCGCACTTAACCAACAGTAGCTTTTTGAGCTTTTGCGTCCTCACTCCTGTAGCGCCCTGAAAAAGCGATTGCTGTATTTAGCAATGCATCTCAGCAATGATTGGCGGGAAATCGGAGGGGCTGCTGTAGGGGTAAACAAGTCAAACTCGGTGCGGAGATTGTGTTTCCGAGCATACCATCAAACTAAGACCAACGCGAAGCCACGGCTCGAAACACGCCGCTCTCAGCTGTTTGTACCCTCATTGCCCACCTCGCTAGCCACCAAGAGGATCGGTTCCCAGGACCAGGTTATAGTCTCTTGCCGGTGCCGTGGTAGCATTAAGATGACGCGAACCCCGGGCTGCTCCTACCGCCGGCCCCAAAGAAGTATGGTGATTTCGGCAACGATTCCAGGAACCCGGAAATCCACAGTGGAAGGTTTAATCGATGCCGTTGTCTCACCATGAGGCACCAGTGCAGCCCTTGAGCAAAGCCCTCATTAGATGGATGTGTCTTGTTTTCGCAAGACACAACGCCACATGAGGTAACATGGCGTCCCGGAGCATGCCTCTCCTCTCGTGGCATGCGGCCCTTTCTAGAGAGGCGTTGCGGCGTCGAGGTTGTCGTGCTATAAAGTCCTGGGAGGCTGAGGGCCTTGTCTCCTATGCCAAGTCCAATCTGCACTCTTGAGACTCGCGAGATCCAAGATATCAATTGCAAATATGCGGTCGCTTGTCTCGATCAGCGCCTTCGTTGGCGGTGCTCTCGCTCAGAGCGGTGCCTGGGGCCAATGCGGTGGTCAAGGCTGGACTGGCTCGACGACATGTGTTTCTGGCTACACTTGTGTATACTCCAACCCGTGGTATAGCCAATGTCTGCCGGGTACTGCGGGCACCACCACGACAACCTCGTCTACCACTCTCGTCACCTCCACAAAGACGAGCACCTCCAAGGCCTCCACGTCGACCACGAGCAGCCCGCCTGCCTCGGGAGGGTGGAAGTGGATCGGGGTGGACGAGTCGGGGGCCGAATTTGGACAGGGCAGCATCCCCGGCACATATGGAAAGGACTTCATATTCCCGGCGGAGTCGACCATCGATGTAAGATGAATAATGCTGAAGATCCTGGCACGCACAATCGCTAACAAATACTGTGTGATAGACGCTAATGAGCCAAGGCTACAACATCTTCAGGATCCCCTTCCTGATGGAGCGGATGGTGCCAGACACACTGACAAATGCGCTGAACGCGGCGTACCTGCAGAACTACACGCAGACGGTCAACTACATCACCAACAAGGGGGGTTATGCGGTGGTCGACCCGCACAACTTTGGGCGGTACTACGGCAACATCATCAGCGACGCTTCGGGGTTCCAGAGCTTCTGGAACAAGCTGGCGGCGGTGTACAGCAGCAACTCCAAGGTCATCTTTGACACGAACAACGAGTACCACGACATGGACCAGACGCTGGTGCTGAACCTCAACCAGGCGGCGATCAACGGGATCCGGGCGGCGGGGGCCACGAGCCAGTACATCTTTGTGGAGGGCAACTCGTACTCGGGGGCGTGGACGTGGAGCTCGGTCAACGACAACCTCAAGGCGCTGACGGATCCCCAGAACAAGATTGTGTACGAGATGCACCAGTACCTGGACTCGGACGGCTCCGGCACCTCGGACGCCTGCGTGTCCGGGACGATCGGCGTGGAGCGGGTGTCGAGCGCGACGACGTGGCTCCGGGCCAACGGCAAGCTCGGCGTGCTGGGCGAGTTCGCCGGAGGAGCCAACTCGCAGTGCATGCAGGCGGTCAAGGGCATGCTCGACCATCTCAAGTCCAACAGCGACGTCTGGACCGGCGCCCTGTGGTGGGGAGGCGGGCCCTGGTGGGGGAACTACATCTACAGCTTCGAGCCGCCGAGTGGCACTGGCTATAGCTACTACAACTCCCTGCTCAAGACCTATGCTGCTTAAGGGTCAGGTTCATGTAGGCTCATCTGCAGTACCTAGTCTAGACATTCTATGCTTTAGTCAAGGTCAAATTCATGTACATACCTTAGCTGTTATCTATTCTTCTATCCTCATATCCCGGTATATCCACGCGTATGCATGCTCCTCACCGAGTGTGAATGCAGATAATTATTGTAAACGATGGCTAGTCCAGATAAACCCCTGATCTCATGTCAAGAATGTAAGTTGAACTTTGGGTGAATTAGATGACAAGGTCTCGTATTACCTACTAGAGTATGTAGTAGGTATAGCAATGCCCTTCAGGTCCCAGGGTAAAAGGACGGTACCTTAATTACCGTGTACGAGGATACTTTGCCAAACCAAACCTTAACTTTAAGCGCATGTGTACCTGCCCAGGTTCTTGGGGTATCGAGCCTCACAGTGGATTAGGTAGTACCCGCCGCTAACGGATAGCTCCAGGTAATTCTTGTCCTCATTGATTGGTATCGCCACTCATTCATTCTATCCCCGTAACAAAAGAACGTCGCGTTCGAGCACATTGAAGCAAAAGGCGCGCCATCGCATCAACATCTCGATTCAACAAATATCAATCACCTCTCAAACTCACGTCTAGACATCTGGACGTCTGGCCTTCTGGCACACGCAGCTTCCAGTGTCATCCTCCTCGATGTCCTGTCTTAGCGCAGCATCATCGCCGTCGTCTTCGCCCGCCTCGCAACGCCCGCTTCAATTTACTCGACACGCGCCGCATCGCGAGGCTTCGGCTACCTTAAAGCCTACCTCGGTGCCAACATCAGGCAGTTTTAACCATGGGCATCACTAGCGACCATCAAAGCGCATCGCCAGGTTCTGCTCTCAGTCACAGTCACAAGCGAAAGCGCGACGTCACCTACGAGACGACAACATACAATGCGCCCTCACATCGCCATCCCTCGACTCCATCTAACCAGCGCATCCCATTGATCATTGATCTTGACGGCGGTGACGACGACGATGATGGGGAGGAAATCCAGTATCTCGGCGAGCAGCCCAAGAAGAAGCCAAGAACGCCTGCTGCCACAGGAACCCCATCCGAGAAGCGCCTCAGAAGGTTCGTCTTAACAGCCTCTCACCTTGATGGGTGTCATGCTTTGCTGACTTTCCTGATTGCTCCCCAGATATCGCGCCAGGCCACCTCAAAGCTTCGACGACACCTACCTCCGCGCTACTACCCAGCGATTCTACGTGCTTAGTCGCACACGATGCGGCACCGCTACTTGCCCCGAGGAAATGATCGAGCTGACAGGCAGCACCGGCAATATCTACAATATCTGCATCGCCAGACAGCCCACCTGCGACTGCCCCCATGCTTCGGCTGGCAATCAGTGCAAGCATGTCATCTACGTCATGTCGCGAGTCCTTCGTGCGAGACACGAGTACGTCTACCAGCTGGCCCTCCTCAGCACCGAGCTCCAAGATATCTTTGCCCGCGCGCCCCTTCCTATGGACGAGTGCAGCTCAGATCCTACCGCGTCCAGCGACAAGAATCGAAAACCCGTCGAGGGCGACTGTCCCATATGTTTCAACGAGCTCGACCCCGCCAAGGAGGCCGTTGTGTGGTGTCGAGCAGCCTGCGGCCAGAATATCCACAAGGAGTGCTTCGCGATGTGGGCTGCCACAAAGCGTCAGAACACTGGACGGAACGGCGAGATAACCTGTCCATTCTGCCGGAGTGTTTGGCAGGGGGATGAAGATACGGTGCAGAAGATCAAGAAGACGGGCCCCCTGAACGACGAGGGCTACGTCAATGTCGCTGACCAGCTCGGCATCAGTCAAGAAAGAGGTAGGCTAGGCTGCTGCCCTACACAATAATGGCAATTCTGACCTTTTTTCCTCCAGATATAAGCACATATTCACAATGGTGGTCAGGCCATTCAAATTCCTACCGACGTCGCAGATACTACTGATAGCTGTTACTTTACTACGAGTGGCCGCTGCTTCGACGAGTGGCTACAGGAACGGTTTATGCGAATTAGTGGCTATACATTATCGGATTATCTTTTTGATACCAGGACTGCATATTCTGTCCCTAGGTGTTCATGAAGTCATCATCTACCTAGCCCACATATCGAATCTTCTCGATCCCAAGCCCCTCGGCACGTTTTTTCATTAGAATGTCACCGCCAGTAATGGTTGAGCCTACCTTAGGTACGGCAATGATGCCCGCCTCTACAAGGTCTTGTGCAAGCTTGACCAGCAGACCGTCACACCCTTTTGCAACGAGGATGTCGACAGCGACGGGGAAATACTCATCATGGTTGGTGATGGCACTGTGGCTCGCTGCTTGGCCGATAGGGAACACATTGTCTGGACACTCGGAGAAGACGCTAATGCGCCCAGATGAGAAGCCGAATGGGACGCTGGGTGAGCTAATGTACTGATTGCGCGGGTTCTGTCGAGCACTGTTTCCGGCGTAGAGGACAAACCCAGAAGAGCATTGCAATGGATCGTCAACAGGTGGGAGAATCTCGCTGTTCCACCAGTTCATAAAGATGGTCTTGTTGGTGATGGCGTCATCTAATGCTGATGCTGGGACGCTGTCGGCATATGCCCATCTTGCAAGAGGCGCTGGGTCGACGAACGGCAGACGCCCATCGTGGACAGCTAATATAACGATCAACTAAACGCTTCACAACGTGCTGTGTCAGTGAATATCATGCTTACCAGCGTAGTCGGCATAGAACGGGTCCCGAACAAGCGAGGTCTGCTCCTTGCTAATGAATGTCGCATAAGTTACGTTCAGCAGCTGTGACAAGGTTGTGGTGCCAACCTCAGCTGGCTTGGAGGCGTCCCAAGCTGTATTGAGATTTAAAGCTGTAGCAGTGCCTCCCACAAAGGTTGTCAGCTTCTCGAGGAACTCGATCAGGATGGTGTTCGCAGCGCTAGAAGGGCTGGTTGGCCAACTGAGGGTGTAAATGGTCTTGGGGTACTTCGGCGTGCTAGAGACGAGAGAATTGTACTTGTCGCCATACAGAACAGAGTTGGCAACGTCCCAGATGTATGGATCACGGGTCAAGAAGCCAGGCGTGTCCAATGCCGTCGACAAGGGCATTACGTGGTCAAGATCAACGAGATCGTGTGAAGGCCGGTTACCAAATACACCCTGAACACCTGAAGGACCACGAATGGACCCCCCAGTGTCAGAACCTAACACGACGTCTAACCACTCGTACGAAGCAATTGATGCACCCGCTCCGGAGGATGAGGACGAAGGATCTTGGTACCCATCACCTCTGGGGTTGAATGGCGAGTGATAATCAACCCAATCGGCTGTAGCTTGTTCTCCATTGGCAAACTGCGATGGCTTTTGGAGGCCGACAATCTGAGCTCCAGCATCGATGAGTCTCTGAACGGCAGTTCCAGTAATCTCGTTAGGCGGGTAGAGGTTGTACCATGCTCGATTTCCGTTCGACTGCTTGACGCCAGCCAGTGCGTAGATGTCCTTGATACCAATACGTACTCCCGCAAGAGGCTTGTCGGCTGTCTTTGTGTAGTACAGACGAGAGGGCACGCCAATGGTCAATGTTGCGCTTACTGGGACCTGAGCCGACAAGGGCTGGAATTTGCCCTCTGGAGTCTGAAGCAACGACTCAGTGAAGGCTCCCGCGAAATCATCATAGAGCCTATACACAGGATAGAGGACTCCGGTGGCCTCCTCCAGGAAGTACGGCCCCGAAGGGATAGTCTTTGAGTCTAAGGGCAAGATCAAGGCCGAAACGTCGTTGATCACCACCGACTTGGTCTTGCAGGTGCCTGACGCCCCGGCCAAGAACACTGCTTCTGCGAAACCGGCTTGGAATACATCATCGGCAGTACTCCATTTGCTAAAAAGATCCGGCAAAGCAGAAAGAGCGACGTCTCCTTGTACCACGGTGACAGGTCGGAATCCGTAGATGCTGGGCAGCTTCGATAGGTTCGAGGCGCTTACCGTCAGGTTCCCTGCAGCGAAAGGCGAGATGTAGTAGTAAACATCGTTCAATGTGACTGACAAGCCCGTGGACACAAGCGTAGCCAAAGCTCCTGGGAGGCCAGCAAGCAGTGAAACGGACAGTGAGAGAAGCTGAGAAGCCCTCATCCTGATGATGTGCGAAAAGCGGTCAAGAGTTTGCTACTGAACTGGGAGACTACAGTTAAGGCATACTATGGTGCTAATTATATCATCCTTGAGGCTCTATGCAGGCAGACATCCGCTCTCGGATCCAGCTCTTTGGGATGACGAACGGGCGCGATGACACCAGCAATTCGCCAATAGCGATGCTGTGCCTGGTCTTATCTCTACATCGCGCTGATTGCCCGATGCATCCGGGCTCGTGGCTGCGGACCCGGGCAACGCCCTTATTGAGATCAGTGCTCCCACGAGGCATCAAGCCCGATCTGGCAAAGGCGGCGCCAATGACAAGCAACCGGCAATTCGATAGTCTACAATGGCGGGGTATGGCTATCGAAACTCCAGCCTCAAAGAGGAACACAAGGCTATCGACAGTTGGCGATAGGGCGTTAGCTGCGTATCTGATGCCCTGTTGAGAACGAGATAAGGCACCGCGACCGCTATGCCAGATCCAGCAGGAGATAAGACGTTGCAAGGGGAAAACAAACCCCACACAGAACTCGGTACGCGCCGAAAACCATAACAGTTTGGCTTGGCATTGATAAGATGGCTCATTTGTCATAATAACTTCCACTGACATTTCTGTCGAGTTTACACCTTACAGTAAGCTTAATAAACGATTGACTGCGCCGCTTTTGGACTTTCCCGGCGCTCCGTCGGATTGCTCCTACTGTATCACTTTCGGCCCAACACTTGACGAAGGAGGCCCACTTCCAAGCCGGCGTCATCTTGTGTGAGGTGAAGTCGATTTCGGATAGCAACCAAGCGAAGCTGCATAAGAACTATTGATATACCAGCGTTAGGACACATCTTGGTGCCATGAATACCTAGCTTCCTTTTCTCAATTGATTGATGCATGTGTAAGATGTGGCCAGGCAGCAGAGTGCCGACGGATCTTAGATTGAGCCGAGATCTAGCTAGTAGATGAATACGTAGATAAAGATCTTATGTGAGCACAGTCGTAGGATGAGTGAGACGCTTAATTTTATAACCCTCGCTCCATATGTCAGCAATTGTGCTCAATACGGCTCGTGAAGCTTGGCTCGAGCTTCTCGACTCATCCTTCAATTGTCACCCTTGTTCCTACACCAAGAAGCTACAGATATCATTCACTTATTCAAATTAGACAGTAACGCAGACTTGATGAGCAGAAGACCAGCTCGTTGATGAAATATTGTGGATATGCTCGGTGCAACAACGCCATTAGTGCAATTGATTCAGCAAGGGTTTACAAGACATTTGTGACACAGGGGCTGCCTTATACATGACAAAGGCGCCCACAAAAGAAGTCAACGTGGTAGGGGTCTCTGGCGAGATAGGGCCTGTGATAGATGCAGTAGGTTCGTTTGAGTAGTACTTTCAATATCTAGAATTAGAGTGAAAGGTGATGATTTTATAATACTGCAACTCGGAGGGCTAATCACAGAAAGACACTAGACATACATATCTTAATATTTATTTTTCTCAAATTCAGCTCAGATCACTCTACCCTATACACAGTAAGGTAAAAACAAATTTAACATAGTAAGATGTTCAACCAATAGTCCTCTCTATCATGCCTAGTAACTGTAGGCTTTTCTGACAGGGATAACTAAAAGTAGTGAAGAGGCTTCCACAGCAGCAAGACTCGAGGTCTCTGATAGCTGTGACAAGAGTCCAACAACACTGACAGCAACACACAAGGCCTTCACTACGTACTGACAGAGCCTCGAGTTCTCACATCTGGAAAGATACGCCGATACACCGCCATGACAATGAGCTCAAATCTCCTGATGGCAAGTGGTGCCTATTCTTCATGCAAGTCCTGTGAGTTGAGCCATACCAGACACATCGGTTTCATACTTCACAACACAATAAAGCTCCTTTAAGGCCATGTCTAGGGCCAATACATCTTCCTATATTATGATCTAAATCGTCCCATATTCGCTTCTCTGAAATCGCACCCAATTAGCCATTTCGGGACTTCCAGTTGGAACCTCAGGGGGAGTGATGTAGGACAGCGGCTGCTTGACACCTGTCCCTTCTCGCTCAACCCCTCGACTTTTGGTCATAGGAGAATATTCGCCAATCCCATGAGTACCTGGTTCAACAAAGTGAATCATCCTTTCGTTCTCACGCAGCACGTCAAAGTATATCCTCGTGATGCACGTCGTTTTTCTTGTGCAGTAATTGAAGATTGACGCAAATTTTCCTGACTGAAGGAAAACTGTTTCCAGAGACAGTTCTCTCGGTTCTGTTCTTTTTATAAATGCAAGGAGATCTGATTCTCTAACGATGATTCCGCGAAGGCTACATCGATTCATCTTGGGCAACTTGTCCAAATTAACTACCCGTTGCAAAAGCCTTTCGTGATGCGGATCGATCCGGATTTCAACGCAGTTGTTCACACGAAGGTAGTGCAATTCGAAACTCTCAAGATATTCACACACAGAAAGGAACTTTGCGAGGCCAATGAAGTTGCCTTCATCGTTGGCTTCAGCTAAAAGTTGTTCCTCAAATTCGCTCTGTCCCAGTGATCCTTGTTCAATGCTTGAAACTGTATCCTCTTCGAAGTCATCTTCATCGTCTCCCCTCTCATAGAATTTGACGACTCGATTAGACAAACTTATTGAAAGTGTTCGTAAAGACGATACAGATCCAGCAAGGCTGACGGAATTCCAGTCGATTTTGTTAAGTAGGTTGCTGGCTAGACTACATCGTTGCAAATCTGAACCGTTGAAAATATTGAGACTTTGGATTCTCAATTTGCTTGCAGCCAATGCTCTCAAAGTCGTGGTAAATGTGTCTGCTGTAGCCTGCCATATGTGCTTCAATCCGTACATGCCCACATCGGCTGGCTTTTTCCTCTGCCTGTTGCTGCCGACAATAATTACCCTCAACGAGATTGCTAGTAATGCGGTATTGTCATGCTGTGCAAGAGAGTCAAACAATTTGCTGAGCAACTCAACATTTCGTTCTTCGTTTGGATCACCATATTCGTTTTCTTCGACGTCCTCATCCTTGGCGATCCCTATGAGGTATAGTTCCCGGACTAAACATTGAAGCCCTCCAGCCTGACTCGCTTGAGCAAGTCTCTGAAGCTCATCTTCCTTTATGTCGACATGTTTGGAGTGGAAGAATGTCTTGAAATGAGGATTCATAGATTTCTTGGCCAGAGCTTTGCAGCTTAGCCGGAGATTGCAGATGTCGTTCAAGCCTAGTGAGTTGACGACTTCTGAGATAATCTCATCGGGGCAATCCTCGAGCCTCATTGCACCCCACAATCATCTATAGCGAAAAGGTTGAGATCTGGACGACGATACAGTTGAATGGCGTTATAGCGAGTCGCATGAGAGTTGCCGAGATCACGAATACGCTCATACCCGAGCGGTTGCCTTCAGTACCCCGCAGGCATGCCACAGGAAGAAATCATATCATTGCAAGCGCTTATGGCGATAAGGAACGGTATACCTAGTGTTGCCTTATGTCTTTCAGCTCCTGTCGATAGCAATGTTAGGACAGCGAGCTTCACTGAGTTTCACGCTGATTCCGACGCGGCATTGGTGTGACTAAAGTCATTGGTTGTATTGCTTCACCCCTACCTCCTTGCTGTTATGTTATATTAGCGAAGGATTTAAGCTAGGCTGTGTCAAGTGCATTGATGGGCTGTGCTTACGTGGACACAGAACGAGAGCGACGCGAAAACGATAACGATAAAAAGACGAGCCAACCACATCAATGGAAGATCTGCATGGCTCCCCTGATTAAGGGCTTAGTCTCTTGGGAGCCCGTGCTGTAGGGCAGGGCCGAGTTAAGCTTTTGAGTCAGGTACTGGCGGTCTATCCCTCCAAGTTGGTCGCAATGTGACCATTGGCGAGAATTGTAAATGATGATCCCGCCCCCAGGATGCTAAATGTTTCCAATTTGAGGGAAGTGTTCCAGTCTAGAAGACTGCCTGGCCCCATAGCTATAAATGCTAGACATTGCCGGGCACTTAGAATCCCTAGGCGCCTTCCTTCCAAAATCCCAGCTAGATGCCGTAACACGCGTATTACGCTTCCTTTGAACAACCATTCCTCTGACAGCTAATCAGAACGTCAATGCAGCCCTGACTTCTTGAAAGATTTTTCTTTTTTTTTGTTTCTGTCCGGAAATTTACTTTTGGGACTTGGTGCCTTTTCAGCGCAAGCCAGCTTCAACTTTCGAAAAGTCTTACTTAACTTTAACTTGGCTCTTGTGTCGAGCGAGGCTATCTTTCATACTGCTGCCGGATATCTTTTATAGACACCTACTTTGCTACTCTTACCAAGATGTCTGAAAGCAACAATCGCAACAGCTTTGGTCGCGGGCTGGGTAGAGATCAGAACTCTAGAGGCGGAAGTATTGGCATGCTCAAAGGCGGGCCCGTAAGCATGCTAGTCAAAGGCATTGCTACCGGCATTGGGCTTGCGTCGGAGAGCATTCATCATCACAAAGAGAAGAAGCGAGCGCAGAAAGCACAAGACCAGAATTCTCAAACTACAGACACCGTTGGGGAGCTTCCAGAACATCTGGACCGCAGAGAGGATGAGGTTCTCTCCCGACAGATGGACGAGGCCGCCTGGGCCCTTGACGATGCGCAAAATGATTTGGGTTATCCTCCCGACGCACGAGACATGACAAGCCCTGAAGCAGTCCCTCAACTTGCTGAAGACTTTCTCCAACACCATCCCCTGCCTCCATGGTACGACGACTTACCGCCACGAAGCCAGCTCGAACTACCCGTCGTTATCACGCAAAGACGGCCGAAGGAACGCACACGCGGATTCATCCGAGCATATGCGCCGGTACTAGAGAATACTGGAATTGATCAGGATACCTTTTTGGATTTTCTTGATCAGCTCAACAAGGCTGTGGAGCCAAGCCCTTGGATCCAGGCGATCAATCTGGCATCTTTTGCAGGCCAGGCTGTTCCTGAACCATTCACAATGCTAGTAGCCATCGCGACC